ATTGGCTGTGACTGCCAGCGGTGGGAGGAGAGGAGGGCCCTGTTCCCGAGCACGTGGGTGCACCAGCACACTTACGCACGTGCGACCTCTCCACCCCGCCGTGTTCCGTCAACTCAGCGCTTGGCCCCCCAGATAACTGAGAGAAGTGGAAGTGCACTGTCGCGGTTACCAGAGGCACCGATTATGCCCTCTCTCTTCTCTTCCTGTCTCCTGACCTTCCTTTCCAGCTTTCTTTTTACCTTGTCCAGTCTCCACTTTCACAAAGGACCCGAGGTGTCCTGCAAAACAAACAATTGCATGGACCTAAGTTAGTACATTAAGGCTGAAAAAAAGTTCGTGGCGGAAGAGGGAAAGTCCTAACACCAGGGCCAGCAATGCTGTGGTTGCAGTCGTTGAACACTGAACTTGACTGAGCTTCTTGGCAGCCAGAGCAAAAACGGGCAAACCGTGGTTTCCAGTGTTCCTCTTGCTCAACCACAGGCAGGCTAACTACTCATCAGGAGAGAAAAACAAAACGTCAGGGGCACTGAACTGCAGGAGGGATTGGCAAGGACTTTGAATATTCTTAAGGGCAGTGTCTTCCGAGGTAAAAAAAAAAAAAAAGAAAGTTCTTAGTGTGGCTCTTTTATTTCCTCTAACTAACGTTGAATGCCTGATATTTTCTCACAGACCAGTGAAAGCACTTCCCCAGAGGCTTTAACACATGGTGGCCAAGGACGTTGTTTGCTGGTCACCTGACTTGATGAGGGGAGAGGCGGGTGAGGGGGAGGGGAAGGTTAGCATATCACTTGGGGTTCTTGTTCAAATACTTCTCAGTTAATTTTTGAGTGTTGTGGCTAATGTCATGCTACTGGACCGTATATTCATTCACCAAGCGCTTAGCTTCCCCTGTTCCATGATCTCAAGGCAACCTAGAGGGAGATACACAAACGGCCATTAAATATGGTAGAAGTATGGTAATGGGGGTCTGTGGACATAAGGAAGCATAGACAAAGAATCACTATTTCTCTATAGACGTAGGGGACCCGGGAATGGCTTCCCCAAGGAGGTGACATTGGAGCTGGGTCTTGTGGACAGTGTAGGAGTTCTCTACGTGACTGAGTGAGACGAGTCCTCCAGGCCGGGGTAGGACTGCCGGGAGTGGCTGAGGAGCAGGGGAGCCCAGGAGATTGGAGAGAATCAGCAGCAGCTCCAAGGGACAGGCAGCGACGAGGACTCAGAATAATTACACACCAAAACTAAGTGTCAGCATCCCCTGGCTCACGCAGGAGCAGAGTAAGAGCTGTGGAATCCTACCCAAGAAGAGAGTCTAGGCTTGGGCCAAGCCCTGCCATGTGGTGGTGGTGGGAGGTACAGATAGCCAAGGGCAGCTGAGGGAGGGTTTCCAAGTCCCCTGTCCCCAGGGCCCCCACTCTTTAGAGAAGTTCACTCTACCTTCTGGCAGCCAGTGGTGGTTGGGAGACTGGATTTTTGGACCTCCTACCACATGTGTAACACAAGTTAAAGATTTTTATCTTGGAAAGGTGATCCAAACCCAACGGTCAAAGTGACTGGACAAACTTTGACAGTGAATTTGTTGACCAAAACAAAATCAAATAGCTAAAAGACCCTTCCAGCTGAGCATCAAAGACATTAAGAGGCATAATATTCCCGTTGGCCACCCTCTTGCAGTTTTCTTAAAGCCGGGTTGGTTCTGCTTTCTTCGGGGACATAAAGGCTTTCCTTGCAGACCCAGCTCCCCAGCCTGGAGTCCAGGAAGGGGGTAGGTCTGGCAGTGGGGTACAGAGGGGCGCAGGGATGCTGACTCTTGGTTGAGTTTGCTGCCTGGCCCGCCTAAGGATGGCTCATTCATGTGTTCATCCATGTGTTCCCTGTGCCAGCCCATCAGAGTTGAATCCCAGCTCGACTACCTTTCCGTCTTTGCCTCTTCTACTTTCACTTCCTCCAACGATTGGCATGTGCCCTGTTTCCAGATCACTCCTGTCCTCCTACCTCTGAGCCTTCCTGCAGCACTTATCAGCCTTGGGGGTTGGGGATTGCTCAGACCCAGGTTCAGTGCCGCCTGCCCAAGAACCCTGTCCCGACTACTTCCCACTCCATGGTCAATGAATGGTTCTGCACTCCTGTTCCTCTTGGATAAAGCTTCTGGGCCATGTGTCTTTTCCTTCGGGGTTTATGGATGAGGGTCAGAGAGCATGTCTGGTCTTCACGTGTCGTCTTTCGCACAAGAAAGGCTCAATAAACACTGAACATTCATTATGCTCAGGCCTCCGTAAGGGCACTGGTAATACAGAGAGGAGGGAGGCCTGTCCTCTACCCCAGAGTCCCAGGAGCTCCAGAAGACACCATCTTGGAAGAGACCCTTACAGATTTGTTTTGACCTCCTTTTTTTTTTTTTGCTCATGACAATGCACTGAAGGAGCCATTCCAGTGAGCTTTACTTCCAAGTTCCTTTTTTAGCAAATTAGGCAGCTAATGCCATGACCAGGTCCAATTCTGTGGGGGATGAAGTCTAGACAGTGACCGTTTCCCAACAGCTCCTCGCTGCATGGAATGAAAACTTTGCTGGTCCTGACCTGAAGCAAGAAAGACATCCTCATCTCCACCTAGTATACCTGTATCCACTTATATGTGAAACAAAGATTTCCAAAACAGGACTTACTCTTGCTGTGTGTGAGAACCTTGGGTATTTTCTGTTCTAGTCCATTCTAATTTCATTTTTTAAAATATTGGCACTAGCAAATTGATTTCACATCTGCTAACAGATCAGGACTCACAGTATGAAAATCATTAGAGTCATTGTCAAGACTTTGGGGTCAGATGGATCCAGGTTGGAATCCTGGCTGTGGCACCTAGAAGCTGTGTGACTTTAAGCAAGCTGCTTCCCTTCTATCATAGGTCTCAGTTTCATCATCTGTAAAATGGGGCTAACATAGAACCTGCTTCATGGAATTACTGTGAGGATTAAATGGAACATTCAGGTAAAGCTCCTCACACAGAGCAAGTGATCAATAAATATGAGCTTTTGACATGGATGTGAAGATTGTGGTTCTGATTGCCCTCGCATGACCACTTGGTGGAGCCAGCAGAGCCAAGGTGGGTCACCTGCCTCCTATGGAATGGTAGTCAGGAAGGACTTTCTGGAGGAGGAGGCATCGGATCAGGGTGGCAGGATGACTGGGACCCACTCCTGTCCTCAAAGTGACCAAGAACCCTGTGTGAGCATCCCAGAACCACTTGTTCCCAAGGATTTTTGGCTGGACCTAGAGCCAACCACGTTAGATGCCTTTGCCTTTCCCATTTAGGTCTCCAATCCACCTGGAATTGATTTTTGTGTCTGGAGTAAAGTAAAGTTCCAATTTCTTTTTTCCCCCTTGTTTCTGAATGGATAACTGGTTACCCCCGCACTGTTGATTAGAGTCCATCCTTCCCTGCTGATTTGTACATCCCTTCTCTCATATATCAAGGTTCCATATATGCACAGATCAGTTTCTGGACTCGCTTCTGTTTCATTGATCTATTTATCTGTCCCTGTGCCAGTCCCACACTGTCTTAATTACTACAGCTCTACAGTGATTCCTGATGTTGGGAGGCGTGTCCCTATCTTGTCCTTCTCCCTTAGAAACCTGTGCTCTTCTCCGCGTGTTTCAGAATCAGCCTCTCCTGGAGATGATTGAGAGCCCTCCGGATAAAGCTGTCCTCAGTGAGGCTCATGGCAGGGTGCCTGGGCCTGCAGTACCTCGCAGACTCATGGCTGCCAACCACCCCAGTTTGAGCTGCCCAAGAATTCTTTCTAATTCATAGGCTGAGAGAAGCACCAGGAACATGCCTGAGTCTGAGTCCCATCTGCCTGCCACTGGCCCAGGGGCTCCCCTGGTTACATGCCCTGTGGCTCAGTCCTCAGCATCCTACCCAAGGTGCCCAAGACTGCTTGCTTCCCTGTCCCTGTCTGCCAAGGACATAAGCCTGAACAGACAGGGATATGCCCTCCATTGGCAAGTCCAGGGTCCTGGAGGGAACTGCTCACACTAGAATTTGGCATGCACACCCAAAGTCTTTGGCTTAGGTATTTGTAAATATTTTCTTTACCTGAAAATCAGCCTGGGGGTTGGGTGGAAGGAAGAGAGCTGGCATTCATGCTTCTCATTTCGCCTGTCCCTGAATGTGAAGACCCAGGTTAGCATCTTCTGGAGACCACTCTGATGGTGGCTTGGATACCAAGGAAATGACTCATCACAAGCTTTGATTTCATGAAATGGCTCAACGAAAGGAGCACGACTGGGCCAGGCGCCCGTGGTTGGGGTGGCCGTGCTCAATCTGAGGTGTGTGCCCTGCAGTTCTCAGCAGACAGGTGCTCACAGGCTTTCTGGACTCAAAAACACTCGCCAAACCGTGGTTCGTTTGGTTTTACTGTACTGGATTTTGACTGAGAGTTTTTGGGGGATGACTCTCTGGACTGGGATTCTGCCCTGTTGGCTGTGGACAAAGCCCTCTTCGCCTTGGGCCTCAGTTTACTCATCTACAAATTGAAGGCCTGGCATGGTGATGTCTCGGACTCCTCTTAACCTTGTTTCTGTGATTCTGCATGTGTGGTTTAAGAGCATTGAAATTGGACACTTTTCTCTCCATCCTCTTGGCAACAAGACTCTTATTTCTGCCTTGCTTTTGGTTACTGACCTCTCCCTCCCTGCATGGAAGAGGCCGTCTGTGGCCGCTGGGGCTGGGCTGGTGGCACCTGCAGCCTCAGGAAGCTAGGGTGAGATTCTCATGCAACTGCCCTGAATCCTGCCCACCTCCTCCCCGCGGGGGAGAACTGCTGAGTTTGGGTACCGGTCTTGTTCTATTGAGCCGGACCTGCCTTCTCAACACTTGGGGTGGCCTTGACACTGGCATGGGCTAACTCAGCGAGGTGGCTGAACCCCAGAACGTGGTGCTGGCCTTTGGCTGAGGTCCTTTGGAGTCTTGATGCTGAGCTTTCTCTGTTTTGTTTCCTCTTTCAGACCACCGAGTATTCAGCGATGGCCTCGCTGGCTGGAGGGCTGGATGACATGAAGGCCAACCTGACCAGTCCCACCCCTGCCGACATCGGGAGCAGCGTGCCCGGGCCGCAGTCCTACCCCATTGTGACAGGTGAGGGCATCTAGGGTGGAGGGGAGAGAGAGAGAGACAGATTGCCTGCGTGGTGGAAAGAGTGGCTTGGTGCTTTTGGACTTGAATGGCCATTTTTTGTTTTAATAAGGTTACAAGGTCCCAGAATTGGTCAGGCAGGAGACTGCTGGGGCGGGGCATTGTGACTGTGATGAGACATGGCTTTCTGTTGCTCTGATAAAGCCAGAGGAGAGCAAATGCCAAATGGACCATGGGTTGGGACACACGGCAGGGGAGGCCCGAGACAGAGGGGCCTCAGTGATTTCGGGATCTCCTGTGGGTAGGGCCTGGCGTTCAGTCCCTCTCATGAGAAGGGCAGCCCTGGCTGGTGAGACTGGAGAAAGAGCAGACTTCTGGCAAACTGTCACTGACACTTCAGATTTCCAGTCAAGAAGGACAAGAGGTTTAGGCTGGAAGGTGCTTGGTGGATGCAAAATAGCTGCCTTTCTAGAGGGCCCAGGGCCAGCCTCTTTAGCTATCAGTATAAAGAGTTTGGACCCTGGAGGCACACTGCTGGATTTGAACTTGCCATTGACTAGCTCTCTAATCTTGGGTAAATTCTATAAGAAATCTGGGCCATGTTTTTAAAAAAAAAAAAATCCCTAAAATGGGATTGGTGATAGCACCTGACCCATAATGTTATTGCAAGGATTAATTTGTCAATACATATAAGATGCTTAGGCTCTTGTTTAGCACATAGCAAGCACCCAATACATGTTGCTGTTATTATTCCTCTCAGAGCCTTCTCATGATGGCTGGTCATCATTGTGGGGCTTGGTGCTGCAGAAGGGGCTGGACTAGAAGGATTGAGTAGATACCTCTTCCTCCTCCAGCAGCAGTGGGATAATATGGGAGGACAGACTCTGGAAGTTTGTCCAAGGTGGCAGGCAGGAAGCAGTCTCAGATACTAGACAGACAGATAGTGGGAGGCTTGGGGGTGGCGCTTAGGCCAGAGCCTAGGCGTCCAGCCCGGGGTAGCAGGATGTCCCTGTAGGCTGATAGGCAGGACATGGTAAGAAGTAACAGAGACAGGGGTTCTTAGAAGTATAGGTGGGCTATGGTTATGTCAGGGAAGCTGGGAACTGGGCTTAGGTTAGAACTTTTGGGGAGGGGGCTGGATGTCACATAGGCTCCAAGACAGTGAGAACCTAACTCTAAGACCTGCGCTGATAGTTTGGCACTGGGGCTCATGGGGCTCAGACAGTGGATGTCCTGTTTGCCCATCCTGACAAGAACCTGGAGGCAGCTGAGCTGGTGCAGGTGGGGAGGTGTCAGCATTGGGACAGGTACAGAGGCTGGGGAGCCTCAGTTAGAGCGAGGTTTTACTGACAGCACAGATATCCCATGAGGTCCTCCCCCAGAAGGCTGCAGTTGGCCCAGGCAGCAGGTCTGGGCATGGATTGGGTTTTCAGTTAAACCTTTGACCAAAGACTTATTTGTACTCCAGAGTGAAGTCTGAATTATGCTTGATCTTTAAATTTTTTTTTAAATTTTGGAGATAATTCTCATCTCTGACCCATTCTTACTCTTTGTGTTGCTTTTAACTTTCATCTTTCCTGGAAACACATTAAATTACCTCCTGTAGAATATTAAAAGCACTCAGGTAGTGGATGGTATAGAAATGTACCATTGGAAGAAATATTTTCTGCCCTGTTCTGGGAAAAATAGAGAAAATGGGTTTTTTGGCATGCCCTTCCCCAGAGGTATGTTTTTCTGGGTGATCATTGCTGAAGGGGTATTTCTGTAGAGGACATATAGGGCTATGAGAGCAAGATATAAGGTGGCAGACAAAAGCTGTTGGGAAAAATCAGTATTACATGACATGAAGAGCTCTTACTGTATCTAAGACCACTTCGTGATCATGTGCAATTCTGAGCTATTTTATTTTATTACAAATTTTTTAAATTCAGGGGTGCCTGGGTGGCTCAGTCTATGGAGCATCTGACTCTTGGTTTCAGCTCAGGTCATGATCTCAGGGTTGTGAGATTGAGCCCCATGTTAGGCTCCACTCTTAGCAGGGAGTCTGCTGGAGATTCTCTCTCCCTCTCCCTCTGCTCCTCTCCCCCCCCCACTCCCCCCTCTCGTGCACACTCTCTCTAAGAATAAATAAATCTTGTTTGAAAAATTCAATCGATTTTTTTAAAAAAAAAGAAAAATTCAATCGATTTTTTAAAAGTTCACCCATGTCTTGATTTTGCATAACCATATGCTTGATTTTGAAATATTAGAAGTATTCTAATTATAAATACAATCATTAGCTTTCTTGTGAGTAAACAAATAGCTCGCTAGAAAAATAATAGAAGAAAAGAGTCCTTTAACAATAGCACCAGAAAAACCCCAAATGCTGAGGAATAAACCTCACTTTAAACTCCACTAAGGACATAAAAGAATAAATGGAGAGATATAACTTGTTCTTGGGCAGGAAAACTCAATATCATAAAAGATGTCAGTTTTCCCTAAGTAATCTACTCATTCAAAGCAATCCCAATCGAACTAGCAGCAGAATTTTTCTTTTTTTTGGAACATGTCTAAATGATACAAAATACTGGAAGAATAAGCACTCAAAGATAGCTAAAAAATTCTGAAATAAAGAAATGAGCAAAAGTTGTAGCCTATTTAAAAACATTATGATGAAACAGCAGCAATTAAAACTATTTTTGTTTTTTTGTTTTTACAGTTTATTTATTTATTTATTTAAGTAATCTCTATACCCAGTGTGGGGCTCGAACTCACAACCCAGAGATCAAGAGTCATTCCCTCTCCAGACTGAGCCAGCCAGGTGCCGCTAAAGCTATTTGTAACTGAAACTAAAGTAAACAGACAGATATAATAGCATAGAGAGTCCTTAAATGGATCCAAATTCTATGTGGGTGCTTATAAATGTAGTGTTTCTTTTTTTTGTTTTGTTTTTGTTCTTTTTTTTATTTTATTTTATTATGTTATGTTAATCACCATACATTACATCATTAGTTTTTGATGCAGTGTTCCATAATTCATTGTTTGCGTATAACACCCAGTGCTCCATTCAATACATGCCCTCTTCATCAAATCAGTAAAGATAAATCATTCAGTTAATGGTGTTTGGACAACTGGATTTGTTGGATAGATACCCCACTTTTTATATTAAAAAAAAATTCCAAGTTGATCTACACTTTCAATGTAAAAAATGAAACCAATAATAAACTAGAAAAAAACGAGGGATAGTTTTTATAATCTTAGAGTGGAGAAAGCTTTAAAAATCTGTTCCAAATTATAAAAGACAAAGAAAATATAAAATAAATGACAGTTAAAAATGTAAGTCTTTTGTATGTGATGTAAAAACATCCAAAAGACAAAGAATAAAATTGGGGGGGGAAATATGGACCCCAGATGACAAAAAAGGTAATTTCTTTAATATATAAAGAGTTTTTAGAAATGAATAAGGAAAAAGTCAGTAGAAAAAACAGGTCAAGAATATGGGTAGGTGATTCATTGGAAAAAATGCAGATGCCCAACAGCACATGAAAGATACGCACCTGACTCATGATTTCAAAACTGCAAATTAAAACAATCATGAGATACTTTTAAAAACCCACTAGCTTATCAAGGATTGAAATGTTTCTTGAGGGCCAATTTTGGAGAAGGTATGAGAAACAAGTATTTTCATATGCTGCTACAAATCAGTGTAACCAGTTTTGGAGGGAAATTTAGCAGTATCTATCAAAAGTTTAAATGCACGCACCCACCCTCTAATCCAGAACTTTCATAAGCAGGTTAGAGATACATTCACGTAGATGCACAATGATACTTATATCTGTATAATAATTATAGAATTATTTATAATGGCAAACAAATGGAAACAATGCAGTGTCTGTCAATAGGAGCTGATTAAATAAATTATGGCTCCTTCATAGCACAAAATACTATGCAAACAATTAAACCAATTAAAAAGAATTAAGTAGAGCTGTCTATGCCGAAATGACTAAATGTCCAAGATATATTTTTAAGTAAATAAACTCTTTGTAAATTACTGTGTGAAGTATGATCCTGTTGGTGTGGAAAAATATAAAGGACATATACGCAGAGGCACGGGCGCACACAGGCAGGTTGGAGGCTTGTATAGATCCCCTAGTCCTTCCCCTGCTTTATGGGGCATTGTGATGTTTGGGTTCTCTGCCCAGTCCCAGCCAGCATCCTCTTGGGATAGCAGGTATTAACAATGCCCCTTTACTCTCCTAAAATAAAGTTCATAAAAACAATCTTCACATCTGATTTCAAATAAAATAAAAATAATGCCTTAATTATGAGATACAGGAAGAATGAAAGAAATTGTTTATAATTAAATACTGTGTACTTTGGGGGCGCCTGGGTGCCAGTCGGTTAAGCGTCTGCCTTTGGTTAGGGTCATGATCCTAGAGTTCTGGGATTGAGCCCCAAGTTGGGCTCCCTGCTCAGTGGCAAGTCTGCTTCTCCCTCTCCCTCTGTCCCGCTGCTCGTGCTCTCTCTCATTCTCTATCTCAAATAAATAAATAAAATCTTTAAAAAAATACTATGTACTTTGATAAGTAAATACTCTGCCTGATTAAACTGCAAGACATAATGAAGTAGTTTGGGGCCTGCCCCATGCACAGAATCACTGTGAACGCCACAGCCCTGAGCAGGCTTAGGGACTCGTACTTACTCATACAGTGAGCGTGATTTTATGAATAGGTGAGGAACTCCTGGCAAAGTTCCAAGTAAAATAAGGTACGAGGTTTGCTCAGTGTACATAGTCATTGCATTCCTAGAAAATTCAGTGTATATTAAGACCATGGAAATTGCAAGTTCACATTTATATGCAAATGAAGTTCAGTGCTAGATTTAAATAATTATAAACAGATTTTTCACCTGTCCTGTTGGGCAGGACATGACAGTCATGCAAGATGAAAGGAAACTTCACAGTGGGGACTGTTCCACCGCAAGGCAGTGATGCCTCTCAATCCTTGAAAAGCCCCAACAAATTT